GGCCGAGACTCGCTCCCTCACACAGGCCGCGGCCTGCTGCCTTGACCTTTACCATCACAGCCAAGGACCATCTAGAAAACTTGAGTTCAGTTTAAACTGCACACGAGCAGCTACTGGAGAGGCTGGCTTTCCGTATTTGCTAGATTGGCTGTCTTTCCACTGAGCCATACGCATTTGATTGTCCAGTAGTTGGGAGGATGACAAGCCGAAGAATTTGTTCCAGCTGGAGAAAGGCAAGAAGAGAACAAAGAACAATTAGATTTGTGAATGTGTTCGAACTTCATAAGTTTCAAGTACCATTAGACCAAGTTGGGAGCAAAATGTGTGGCTGTCTTCTTCCCGGATGAATTTCCTTTTGTCTGTGATCCTAGCATGACAGGAAAGTCACCTGTTTCGCTGGTCACAATCACCAGCTTGATTCCGGACTCTGCCACATTCCTGAGGCCATGTGCATGTGGTGTGCTTGTGTGTAAATGGGCTTTTGGTGCCTTGCTGTGTGGGTGGGAGGCTTAAAGAGAGCGCTAGCACATGGTAAGCACCAATACCATCATCTTCCAACAAAATCTTGTGGAGTTGGCCTTCGCATGACACGGAGCTTACCAAGCGTCCTCACATCCAGGGCCACCCTGTAGGTGCTCAAACATACAAGATGGTTAATTGATGCAGCCTCCTTAAGGGAACCCTTCTCTTGCACTGGTAACTTTCCTGGGCAGTCTAGCTTCTAATTTCCTACATTCACTGTGTGCATCTGTTGAGTATAAATTAGGAAGCAACTATTGGGTATACTTCCAGAAAAGATAGTTTCCTACAATGTTTCTGCTTACACATACATATATGCTTTTTATTTTTCTGTCTTTTTGAGACAGGGTCTCACTATGCAGTTGAGGCTGACCTTGAGCTCATTTTGTAGCCCAGGCTGCTCTTGAACTTGCAGCGATCTTCTTGCCTCAGCCTCCTGGGTGCTGGGATTACAGGAGTGAGCCACCACACCTGGCATATACTTTTTTTTTTTTTTCAATGAGTTCTTGCTATGTAGTCTAGGCCAGCCTTGAACTTTCTATGTACCCCAGGCTGGCTTTGAACTCAAAATCCTCCTGCATCAGCTTTCTAAGGGCTGGGATTATAGGCATGCACCACCCTGCCCAGCAAAAGTCGAGTGTGTGTGTGTTGCTGGGGACTGGACTCATGGCCTCATACGTGCTAGGCAAGTGCTCTACCACTGAGCTGCATCCCTAGCCCTCTTTTCTGTTTACTTCCACTGAGCATCCCGTTGTATAGATAAATCATTGTTTATCTGCTTACCTATTATTGCAGGACACTGTGGGTGCTTCAAGTTTTGTTTATCCAGAGTAAAGCTGATGAGAACATTTGTTTGCAGGTTTTTGCATGAACATGTTTCTAACTCATTTGGGTAAATAACCGAGGAGTGTGATTACTAGATCATAAGCTAAGACTATGTTTAGCTTTGCAAGAAATCACCAAACTGCCTTCTGGAGTGGCCGTACCAGCTCTCCTGTTTATGCTGCTCTACATCTGCTTTCTTCATGACACAATATTCTGTAGACTTCTCTCCAAATAAATAAATATGGCCAGGCATGGTGGCGCACACCTGTAATTCCAGCACTTGGGAGGCTGAGGCAGGAGGATTGTTGTGAGTTTGAGACCAGCCTGGGCTACAAAGTGAGCTCAAGGCCAACCTGAACTGCATAGCGA